CAACAACAACAACAACAAATAAACTTTGTTCCTAACAAGTGTCAAATGGGTAAGTACAATAATTTTCCAGTTTAGCCCATAATGGCAGTTTGTCCCCCCCCAAAAAAATCATTCCAATAAAATATTAATACTAAAATGTAAGCCCAGTGATATTTCTGAAAATCCTGAAAATTAAAACTCCCATCTGTCATAGACAAACATAATTTAGAAAGAGAGATTCTGGTTGTTTTTTTAATTGATATTTGCCATCAAGTGTTTTTTGACTCCTAGCAACCACATGGTCTTTTTATCCCTAACCTGATCTTTCAGGTCTCCCAATGGTGCACCCATCGCCACTGTAACTGAGTCCATCCCCCTTGCTGCTGGTCATCCTCTTCTTCTCTTTCCTTCTCTTTCCCAGCATCAGAGCCTTCTCCAGAGAGCTACATCTTCTCCTAGTGTCCAAAGTAGGATAATTTGAGCCTGGCCGTTTGTGCCTCCAGTGAAAACTCTGGGTGGATTTTTCAAGGATCCATCGGTTTGTTTTCTTGGCTGTCCACAATATCCTTAGAAGTCTTCTCCAACACCAAAGGCCAAAGGCATCAATACTCTTCCTGTCCTGCTTCTTCAAAGTCCAAATGTCAGTTCCATAGCGTATCACAGGGAAAACCATGGCTTGCATGATTCTGAACTTTGTAGGTATAGACACATCACAGCATCTAGACATCTTTTTCAAGGCCTTCATGGCTGTTCTACCAAGTGCTCGTCTGTGGCGGGTTCCTTGACTGCTTGTTCCTTTAGCGGTGATGGTTGATCCTAAAAGGCAGAAGCTACCCACCACTTCAATATCTTCATTGTCAATTCTAAGGCTGGTTGTTCTACCTGTTGTTATTAGTTTGGTCATTTTATCTTTAATTTTAGTCCCATTTTTTCACTGTGCTCTTTGACTACAGCTTGCAGATCCTTTGCCTTTTCAGCTATCAAGGTAGTGTCATCAGCATAGCACAGATTATTCATGCTTCTTCCTCCAGTTTTAAAACCGTGCTCATCTTCTTTCAATCCAGCTTCCCTTAATAAATATTCAGCACATAGATTGAATAGATAAATAAGGGAAGAGTATATAGCCTTGTTGCACTCCTTTGCCAACCTGGAGCCAGTCTGTTTTTCCATGTTCTCTCCATATTGTGGCTTTCTGACCT